GCACCGCCTGTGCCGCCAGTGGCTGCGGCCGGAGAGGAGCAGCAAAGGGGAGATGCTGGACCTGGTGGTGCTGGAGCAGCTGCTGGCCCTGCTGCCCGCGGAGATGGCGAGCTGGGTGAGGGAGTGCGGAGCCGAGAGCTGTTCGCAGGCGGTGGCCCTGGCCGAAGGCTTCCTCCTCAGCCAAGCCCAGCGGGAAGAGGAGCAGGTGAGAAGGGGGGGACTTCATATTGGGATCTGCGTGGTGGTGGTGGTGGGAATCGGCAATCTAGGCAAAAATCAAAGAGATTCAGAAGATGCCTCTGCAGCCTTTTCTGGAATTACTAATAGCAATAACACTTAGACTTATATACCGCTTCACAGTGCTTTACAGCCCTCTCTAAGCCAGTGTTTCTCAACCTTGACCATTTTAAGGCATGTGGACTTCAACTCCCAGAATTCCACAGCCAGCATTGCTGGCTGTGGAATTCTGGGAGTTGAAGTCCACATGCCTTAAAATGGTCAAGGTTGAGAAACAATTGCGCTAAGCGGTTTACAGAGTTACCATATTGTCCCCAAAGTGTCTGGCTCCTCATTTTACGGATGGGGGAGGATGGAAGGCTGAGTCAACCTTCAGCTGGGGGGAATCAAACTGCCAAATGGTAGGCAGCAGGCAGGCAGCAGAATTAGCCTGTTTACTGCCCAGATTTGGAGAACCAACTTCTTCTTGAAGGTAAATGCTTCTGTTTCCTTTGGAGATAATTCTGTTGCAGAAAAGAGAAGTTCAGCCCTGTTTCAACTGCTCATGCTCATGAGGGATGTAAGCGAGTCCAAAATTTGAGGAAGTGGCCACAATTTCTTGTCAGGCATCTCTTCTTGTTTCCTCTAGTGCAAGAATTAATTGGGGCACTTTTTCCATTTCAGCTGATGATATTCAAACTATTCTCAATCACTCCAATATTTCTGACTTTATTACCTAAAAAGTTGGGTTGTAACCTGTAGGTTTTTTCTCAATCGTGTAACAGAATATTTTTTTCGAAAGAAGTTTATGAAACAGTGGTCTCCCCCCCCCCCCCCGAACAGTTCTGCCTTATGGGAGTACTTGTTGTGGTTTTCATAGCTGTTTCCCACCAATTAGAGTTTGATCTTCTGTTAGTTATTGCAGCAGGGCTCCTTAAGTCCCAATTTTTATCTACAATGGTAGGCATTTACCCCAAAAATAGAAGTCATGTGCAGCACAGAGTCTGTGAGTTGTCTTACTTTGACTTGGGTTGGAGAAATACAGGTGGAATGGCAAAAGGTAAGGCAAGCAAACTAATCTCATTATGGTTCTCTGAAAGTGGATCATAAACCAGACTCTTCTGTCAGGTGCAGGAGCCATTCACTGAGGAGATCTCAGCAGAGCTCCAGGAAAGAGGAGATCCATCCAGCTCTTCTCAGGAGCTGCTTTTTAGGAGGATCCAACATGGGCCTCCTTGGCAGGTAAGTGCAGGTTTCCTCTGAGAACAGCATTTCCACCTCTCTCCCATTCATGAGTTGCTTTTACCACCAAATGCTGAGTGTGTCTGTTTGAACACAATGTCCTCCCAGAATATCCTGCTGAATATCCTGCAGAACAATTCAAGATTGTTCTGGAGTTGCAAACGAGAAAATCTAGAGACTGATAGCCTTGTATTAGGCAATGAAATTTCTTTGGTAGAAACGTTTCTTAATACTTTTCTTAAGACATTTCTTAATACTCTAAATATTTCTCAATACTTTTCAGAAGAGAGCTGACAACTAGTTAGAAATGAAGGCCATGAATTGAAACAATAGAAATAAGATTAAAAACTGCATATGGACTTAGGGCTTCATCCTTCATGGGATTAATGCTTAACTCAATGCTAAACAGCTGCAACAGTAAGACTGATGGCCAAGTGACTTGGGATTTCTAGGCTCATTGCCAAAATTTTGAGATAGGTTAGGTAAAATTTCTAGTGGATGTGTCATGTTTACTAGTTTGCTAGCCTAGGGGATTCTGTTCCCCAAAACCTCTTGCTGTGTTATTCTGGCTCACTGGGAAGCTCTGCAATGGTGACTGTGTTGCCATTCCACAACCTGGATGCACCTAAGACATGATTTGTGCAGCTATGGCTTCCCAACCCCAAAGACTATTTGGAGATGCAGGCATAAATTAGTTTCTGGTAAGAAAATGTCTGTTTAGTCCCTTGCAAAATTCTGTTTCCATTAACAAGTCTTTCCTGGTAATGTCTGCCAAGGAACATTTTCTTTCCTATCAGGGATCTGGTCCATTTGAAGAGGTGATTGTGGACTTCACGCTGGAGGAGTGGGAGCTGCTAGATTATGGTCAGAAGATCTTGTGCAGGGAAGTCATGTGGGAAATTTTGAAGAATATGGCTGCTCTGGGTAAGGCTAGGCTTTGCTCTGGCTTCCATTCACTGGGAGATGTTTTTTTCTGTGGAAGATGAATAGGAAAGATATTAACACTCAGATGCTTAAGGTGATCATCTCTCCTCAAGCCCTTGCTGGAAATACCATAGACTCTGAAAATGTCCTAGATCAGTGGTGGCGAACCTATGGCACGGGTGCCAGAGGCGGCACTCAGGGCTCTCTCTGTGGGCACGCACGTCGTCGCCCCAGTCCTAGGCCTTCAGCTGGGTTTTATAAAACCTTTTCGCTTTAGGCCTCCATCGCCATGTGCAAAAAAAAAAAAAAAGGTTCAGTCAATCAGTCAATTTTAGCTTCTCTTGGGGAAAAAAAAAAGATCTTGCATAGTTGGAATTGATTGATTGAACTTTTTAGTCTCACCCAGTCTGCCCTTACCACCGCAGCCACACCCACCCAATGGGCCACGCCCACCCAATGGGCCACGCCCACCCAGCACCCGACGATGCATAAGTGGGTTTTGGGTTTCAGTTTGGGCACTCAGTCTCTAAAAGGTTCGCCATCACTGTCCTAGATGTTCCATGGAAGTGGCTGAGCAGATTGACCAATCAACACCAAAGAGTTAATATATTTCTTGGCTGAAAAATTCTTTGTATACATTCAGGGTCTCCTAGATAACAATTTGTAGCCATCAGATCCTAGCTAGACACATGGCTGGTGCCAACCTGGAACACATGTTTTTGAAAGGGGGAGACCCTCCTTTCACCATTCTCAATTGTAACAAACATTTTCTTTTTTCTAAGGAGATGATGCGCTGGAAAATGAGAATAGCAAGCAAGCAGGGTTAAAGGCAGAGAAGTATGAAGTTGAAGACGTGATATTTGCCCATGAAGAGGACACAAGAAGACAAGAGAGAAAGCACACAGAAGATGAAGGGGTGAAGCCATCCATTTCTGTTCCTGTCGGAATCCCTAGTTTCCTGTTCCAGCAAGACCTGGAAGGAAAGAAAAAGGAAAAATATGGGGGAAAAGAGAAAAATCCATTTGATTTCCATGAATGTGACGAAAACCAGACTGAAGGAAAAATGTGTGCAATGTATGAAAAATATGTCAGTCATTCTTTCTCTCTTACTTTATTAAAGGAACTATACGGCAAAAGCAAACTACATACCTCTGTAAAATCTGGGAGAAATTCCAGTCGGAGCAGAGAGATGAAACTATGCATGGAGTGTGGAAAGAGATTCACTAGCAAGAGTAAACTTATTCTCCACCAAAGGATTCACACTGGGGAGAGACCACATAAATGTCTGGAGTGTGGAAAAAGCTTTACCCAGAAAGGGCATCTTAATTCTCATAACAAGATCCACACAGGGGAGAGGCCATATAAATGCATAGACTGTGGAAAGAGCTTTTCTGAGAAGAAAGAAGTTACTCGCCACCAAAGGATCCACACAGGAGAGAGGCCATATAAATGCCTGGAATGTGGAAAGAGCTTTACTCAGAAAGGACCACTTAATTCTCATGAAAGGATCCACACAGGGGAGAGGCCCTATCAGTGCATGGAGTGTGGGAAGAGCTTTACCCAGAAAGGACAACTTAATTGTCATGAACGAATCCACAGAGGGGAGAGACCATATAAATGCATGGAGTGTGGAAAGGGCTTTACCCGCAAGGGATATCTCACTTCTCATGAAAGGATCCACACAGGGGAGAGACCTTTTAAATGCATAGACTGTGGAAAGAGCTTTTCTGAGAAGAAAGAAGTTACTCGCCACCAAAAGATCCACACAGGAGAGAGGCCCTATAAATGCCTGGAATGTGGAAAGAGCTTTACTCAGAAAGGTCCACTTAATTCTCATGAAAGGATCCACACAGGGGAGAGGCCCTATCAGTGCATGGAGTGCGGAAAGAGCTTTACCCAGAAAGGACAACTTAATTGTCATGAACGAATCCACAGAGGGGAGAGACCATATAAATGCATGGAGTGTGGAAAGGGGTTTACCCGCAAGGGATATCTCACTTCTCATGAAAGGATCCACACAGGAGAGAGACCTTTTAAATGCCTGGAATGTGGAAAGAGTTTTTATGACAAGACAAGCGTTACTTGTCACCAAAGGATCCACGCCGGAGGGAACGTATAAATGCCTTGAGTCTGAAGAATTCTTGAACAATTATAGCACCTTTAGTTGTCAGAGGTATCCAGACAGGAAAATTAGAAATGCATGGAAAGTGTATCAGGGTTCACTGAGTATAGGGTCTCACCTCTCATAAAAGGACGCACACATGAAAAACTGTACAAATCCATGGACTGAGCTTTATTTGCAACCGCCAACGTATTCATCATCCAAGAATCCAGACATGGCAGGCAGCTTATTAATGCACGGAACATGCAGAGATGTTTTCCTTGAGCCTGGATCTTATTTATCATCCAAGCAGCCACACACAAGAAAAGGTGTAAGCCCTCAAATGTGGAAAGAACTGAAGATGGATCAGTGGCTTAATTTTTCATAGGATGACCCATTCAGGAGAGTTACCATAGAAACATAAAAGATTGAGCGAGTTAGTGAAAATGCACTATTGTCTCACTCGTCGTACACTTTTTAAACGTATTCTCAGATACGGAGGGCATATAATCTCTTTGAAAGTTGGTTACCTTGGTATTGTTTTAGTGCAGGGTGTACGGTCACTCAGAAGTTCAGTCCCTAGCCATCTCACAGTTGGACTGTTACAATGCACTCTACATGGGGTATCCTCAAAGAGCATTCGGAGGCTACCCTCTCACCCCACTGGGATTGGCCTGCCCCACTTGTGCCAGCAGAGGAGGCACGCTGCTAGTTCCATCAGCCAAACAAATTATTCCGACTGGCAGGGTCCAAGAGGAGGGCCTTCTCTGCTATAGCTCCTGCCCTCTGGAACATCTTGCCCCTCCCCATGCGAGGTTAGCGCCAATCCTCCTTTCGTAAGGCCCTAAAGAACTGGCTCTGCCAGTTGGTTGGGTCCCAATGGAGGAACAGCACAGTGGAGGAGATTGATTAACAGCCTCCTCCCCCACTTTGCTCCCCCCCCTTCTGATGTGTCCTTGATTTCAATCTTTGGTTATATTTATTCAGGCTTTAATGTAGATGTATTTTTCTGTCTGTAAGCCATCCAGAGTTACCTTATGGTAAGATGGGCGGTCAATGAATGAATGAAAAGAGAAAGAAAGAAAAAGAAAGAGAGAGAGAGAGAGAGAGAGAAATCAGGTTAGACTGGATGTGATGTGGCAGCCATAAGAGGTGGAACAAGAAGAAAAGTCACACTGCACAGCTAAAGAAAAGAGAAGTGAATGGGAAGAGGACATTTATAATTTATAATTTTTGTTTTACATCTTCAAGGAACAAAGTTCCTGTAAGTCTTTAGGAATTTCTTCAGACAGGATCTGCCTAGGCTCCTGTGTTAGGTGTATGTAAAGGCCTATGTAGCTCCAAACTGGATGTTTTTTGTAATCCTCATGTACATTGCCCAAACCCTCACATTCCCTCTGTTGTTATAGTTTTCCAATTGTATAAATGAATATGTTCCATGACTTCTTAAAAGCATCTCTCCTGGGCTGTTGACAGTAGGAGAGAGATGATCCTGCATGTAATCCCTCAATACTGCCTAAATAGTTTCTAACTGAGGGGCCCCATTAAATTCAAATTTCACACAGACTGGATATAAGTAGTCCTTGACTTACGACCACAACTGAGCACCAAATCTATGTTCAGCGAGACAGTTATTTTGCTCCATTTTACAACCTACCCTTGCCATAGTTCAGTAAATCACTGCAATTGTAACATGGATGTAAGTGAATCGAGCTTCCCCATTGAGTTTGCCTGTCAGAAGTTCGTAAACTATGATCGCATGACCCTGGGACACTGCAACTGTGATGAATCGGTTGCCAAGCATTTGAATTTTGATCACGCGACCTTGGGGATGCTGCAGTGTGTGAAAAACGGTCATAAGTCACTTTTTTCGGTCCTATTGTTAAGTTCGAATGGCCACTAAACAAACTGTTGTAGGTTGAGGAGTGCCTGTGCAGCAACTTTTGTGTGGTCTTCCTGGAACGCAAGGTGAAACGCCTGGTAAAATGGCTGCAGAAAAGACATTCTGCACTTGGGCACTACATTCCCCTAAATTCAGAGAACACCCAAGAAATGTTTGAACTTTTCTCTCTTTCTGTCTGCGTGGCCGTGTCTTCAAGTCATTGTGGAGTCCATATGATGGCCTGGAGCCAGGGGTAGGCAACCTTGGTTCTTTTATGGCTCGTGGACTTCAACTCCCAGAATTCCTGAGCCAGCCATGCTGAGGGGACGGAGAGGTTTCCAAGCTGAGCCATGCCGGCTCAGGAATTCTGGGAGTTGAAGTCCATGAGTCATAAAAGAGCCAAGGTTGCCTACCCCTGCACTAGGCAAAAACCACTTCCTGTATCATGAGAACGGTGTGCGCCTTCCATTCTCCATCACTCTTTTTTGCAGCACCATTTGGAGAACAGCAAGCAAACCCAGTTTTGCAATGCTTTGGAAGGCCTCAGAATCTTTCCAAAGGCTTTCTTTCCACATGGGAACGGGGTATACCTCTTAGAGAGGGGCTGGTGCAATTTGGAGAAGGCTGTGAGCAGCATCTGGAAGAGGGTCTGACACAACCTCCCAGAAGGCTGGACCTGCCTGATTAAGAGAGGGAGAAACACGGTGAAGGTAAATTGGGCATGGCAGAACTTGTGGAGCACGAGGTGGCTGTGGCTTTGTGCTGTGGCATTGAGGTGCCTACCTCTGGCGCAGGGGGTCAGACTGAATTATAATAATAATAAAGTTGGAAGGGACCTTGGAGGTCATCTACTCCAACCCCCTGCTCAGGCAGGAAACCCTATACCATTTTGGAAAAATGCCCACAGAGAGGGCTCCGAGTGCTGCCTCTGGCATCCGTGCCATAGGTTCACCACCACTGCCCTATACCATTTTGGACAAATGGCTGTCCAGTCTCTTCTTAAAAACTTTCAGTGTTGGAGCATTCACCACTTCTGGAGGCAGGTTGTTCCACTGGTTAATTGTTCTAACTGTCAGGAAGTTTCTCCTTAGTTCTAGGTTGCTTCTCTCCTTGGTCAATTTCCATCCATTTCTTCTTGTCTTGCCTTCAGGTGCTTTGGAAAATAGCTTGACTCCCTCTTCTTTGTGGCAGCCCCTGAGATATTGGAACATGGCTATCATGTCCCCCCTCGTCCTTGTCTTCATTAAACTAGACATACCCAATTCCAGCAACCATTCCTTATATCTTTTAGCCTCCAGTCCCCTAATCATCTTTGTTGCTCTCCTCTGTACTCTTTCTAGAGTCTCAACATCTTTTTTACATCGTGGTGACCAAAACTGGATGCAGTATTCCAAGTGTGGCCTTACCAAGGCATTGTAAAGTATTAATACTTCCTCACGGATGCTGACTTCACTAGTACTGAAGTAGAGGCCTGAGGGCTGTGGCAGCCAATTCAGACTGCTGAAGGGCCAGGCCTCTAATTCAGTCGCAGTGTTGCTGTTTCCACCACTGAAAATTGCCACTGAGCAGGTTACCCAAAAGGACAGAGATAAGGGGAATGCAGTCATTTTTTGGTTTTCCAATGGATATAAAAGTTATATAGTGTATTGTAGGTCTATTAAGTGTGTAATAGTATTATGTCTTTTAAAAAAACCAATGTAACATACCTTAATTAAAATATACTTTATTGGTAGTTGGCAAATACTCTTGGAAGAATGGCACCAATGAACTTGCTCAATTAAGCACATTAAAATAAGCTATGCCTGTACGTTCTCTCTTTCTGAAAAAACAAGAAGCCAAAGGAGGGATCCAAAATACTAGAATTAAACATGGAAGATTGTGGATGGAGTGACCCACCAAATGGATCCCTATAACATCAGATGAGACTAAAATGGGATTGGGTACTTTCTGGCACCGGGCCAACCTTATCTAGATAAGCAGGATTTGAAATGGTTAGAAATGGGGTAGTAGGCCACCAGGAATTCCAATACAAGTCCCCTAGTGAGAACAGAATTTATAAAGTGTTTCACTGAGGAATTGTGCTAGTTCTCATGAAAGGTTGCATATAGAGACAGCAACTACAGTATGTAAAGATTATGTAAGCTGTGGAAAGAACTATAAACAGTATTTGATTTTGACATAGGTGAGAAACCATACAGATAATCTTTCGTTTCAAAAGTAATCATATTTACTTGGTAAGTCAGTCTCGGTGTGCAACCTGGCAGTCCTAGACTCACAACGTCTGCTCAAAGAATGGATAGAAGTTGTGGCTAGGAGGGTCTTTGCACAGTTTCGTGTTATGCACCAGTTGCTTCTGTTAATGGCACTGCTCAGAGTCACTTATGCCCTTACTTTCTGAGTGGACTATTGCAATGCATTCTACATCTTACCTTGAGGTAAGATGGACGCCTATACATTTTTATAAATAAGTGAGTCTGCCCTTGAAGAGTAGCTGAAACCTCTGTTGAGACAAAGGGTGACATTGTGGGCAGTCACATGTACCCCTTAAATAACCCTTCGCCTCTACATTGAGAGCTGAATGGGTTGCCAGTTTGCTTCTGGGTCCCTCTCAAGGCTCTCATTTTGATCTTTAAAGCCCTTCATCCCACGGAGCCAGGTTATTTCAGGGGACCACCTGTTTCTGTTCACATCTGGCTGCTTCATAAAGTCCAGCAGAAGGAGAAGAGTGAGTGTTCTACTTCTTTAAGAGTTATATCTGGCAGGTCTTTTCTGACATGGTTCCTCAACAACGGCTACGTCAGCAGGCCTGGGAATCCCAAGGAACCGGTGAAGTAATGTGGTACCTGCATTACTTATAATTTTTGTATTATTTTTGTGTTTATTGCCATCTTTTTCAAGCAAACGAGTAGGCGGTGAAAAATCATAAAATCTGTTAAATCCAAGCATAAGAAGAATACAAATGTGTCTTCGTATAAAAACAAGGATCTGATTTTTGAAGAGCTTTGGGTGTTAAAAATGAGACATGTTTCTAAACTATAAATTCAAAAGTTAGAGGAGAAAAGTATAACTCCTGCATAAAATATATAGAAATGGCTACGCTTGAGGACTGTATGTAGCATTGGAGATAGCCAAGTGGTCACTAAGTCAGAAACTAACATTTTTTCTAAGACACCCCGTCTCTAAGATGGTATCTTCCCCTCCTTTGCAACCCCAAATCCACCCCGCCTCCAATCCCTCTTCCCGATTTAAACACGCCTCTATGCTTCGGAGGAGGGGACCTGCGCTCAAGAAGCTCCTGTTTGTTCCGAAAAGATATTAATACTAATGCTAATGCTAATACTAATACTAATACTAATATTAATATTAATATTAATATTAATAATACTAATATTAATAAAAAGTTGGAAGGGACCTTGGAGGTCATCTAGTCCAACCCCCTGCTCAGGCAGGAAACCCTACACCAGGGGTAGGCAACCTTGGCTCTTTTATGACTCATGGACTTCAACTCCCAGAATTCTGGGAGTTGAAGTCCATGAGTCATAAAAGAGCCAAGGTTGCCTACCCCTGCCCTACACCATTTCAAGCAAATGGCTGTCCAGTCTCTTCTTAAAAACCTCCAGTGTTGGAGCATTCACCACTTCTGGAGGCAGGTTGTTCCACTGGTTAATTGTTCTAACTGTCAGGAAGTTTCTCCTTAGTTCTAGGTTGCTTCTCTCCTTGATCAGTTTCCACCCATTGCTTCTTGTCCTGCCTTCAGGAGCTTTGGAGAATAGCTTGACTCCCTCTTCTTTGTGGCAACCCCTGGTGTTAATTGGGAAAGATGTTACCAGACGCTTTCCGATGCTTAGCGCCCAACCTCAGCTGGACACGGTCCCTATCTGTCAAGTGAGCCTCCCTGAGTTTCCTGCAAGGTACAGCGCCTGATTTAGAGGGGCGGGACCGAGAACATCGCTCCTTTGCACGCCTGGCCACTCCAGTCCCCCGCTTTTGCCACGCGACTTCCGGCGACACCTCCTACCCCCCGCCCTGGGAGGAACAGCAGCAACGCTGGCATCCCCGCTGCCAGGAAAAGGAAGGGCCGATCTAGCAACCCCGTATCTATCGTTTGGGGGACGCGGGAAATTACTGCGGGAGCCATTCGCA